TGTCGTCTTCTTCCCCCCTTGTGTCATTGTGGACGCCGTGGTCATAACACTGTCGTCGTGGTCGGCCGTGATGTCGGCAGCGGAAGCGAGATCGGATGCTGTTGTGGCGACGGTGGCAACGGATTGCACTGAGAGTCGAGAGGCCTTGGAGGCTCTAGCTGCCTTGGCTCGCCCTTTCTTCGGGGCCGGATACTGGTTGAGGAGTGCAAAGAAGAGGCAGTCGGGTTCGCGTTTGTAGTGCTCGTCACTGTAATACAGTCAGCCTTGTCGTCGCCCGCGCCTCGACGGGACACCTACAATGGATTGTCGTCGGATTCCCAGCCTTCAAGCGCAAGATTGCAGTACGCGCAGGTCGTCATGTCATCAGCTTCGCGCGATGGTGTGTACTTCCAGCCACCCTCGACAAGCTAGCGGCGGGTTAGTCTTGGCCTTTGCTGCCCGACTGGAGTGCGCCTACCTTTTTGGTTTTGCACCTGAAGCCCTTCTTTGACTCGTATGGCCACTTTCCTGCGAATGTCGCCTTCCGCGCCTCGACCATGGCTGGATCGAGGGGGTTCACCTTCCCGTAGTTGCCATAGCCGGCTTCGATTGCCGCCATGATGGCCCAGCCGCATGTCGGCGAATGCTTCAGATGCTCCTCCAGCGGGTTGTCGTCTTCCTCCCACCCGTCGAGCGACTTCTGGCACAGAAAACACACCACATTGTCGGGGCTCTTGGGGTGCGGCTCGAAGAAGAATCCGGCTTTCGCGAGCTGGTTTGGACGCGTCAGCCGGTATTTCTGCAGGGTTATGGCATCGGAGACTTACCGCGACCGGCGACAGCGTCTTGTGTGGCCAGTAAAGCGCCTTTGGAGCGCGCGACGCTGCGGTGGAAGCCCGCCCCTTGGCAACTGGCTGAGGGCCTCGGAACGAGTCGAGGCGATTCTCAAAGGCAAAGAAATGCTCGTCGGCGTCCATCTCCACGGCGGTGACTGGAAGCGCGTCGCTTCCTCGGGGTATGGTTCAGGTCGCGAATCGGGAGCAATCGGGAGTCGAGGGGCGCGCGGTTGTCGTCGCGGCGGACCAGGCGGTTGGGAGGCGCTTTCGCCGACGTGGTGACAGCGCGTATCCAACTGAATAGCGCACAGGAACCAAAGAATGAAAGCTCTTGTTGATCGGTTTCGCGACTGATGCGACTGTTGGGACTGGTGATTGCGCTCGTTGAGCTCGAAGCGATGGTGGGGAGGGAAGTCGCAATCGCCAAAATACCAATGTGCAACGGTGATTGGACGACAGCGCCGCGTTTGTTTACTTGCAGTTCCATGTGGGCTTAAAGCATTAGTTAAGTGGAGCTGCCCTGGTGCTAGGCGCCACATCTCCCGGGCCACAATCTCCGGCGAACCTGTTGTCGGGTTAGGGTTGTTCAACCGCACGGGCTGCATCATCAGGCCCACAACTCCACAAGAATGCGACCGGGCTCGCCAGGCGCCTTGCCAAATTCATCACCGAGCCCTCGCCAGCCCCATCTTTGCGGACCGATTTGTTCGGCAATCGGCGCTTTCGTGCAAACTTCGGCAAGGGTCCCCATTCAACATGATTGGGCAGAAAGACGCGGCGTTGCAACGTTGCGGGCAGTTGCTCGCGTGCCCTGCTTGGCCTGTCCGACTTCTTCCCCAGTCACCTTCCCGTCTGAGATCCAAGATGAGCCTCAAACCCAGTCCACGGCACAGTTGTGAGTTCCAGGTTGTCACCAAGCTGGTGCGGCCAGGTGTTCGTCCCCGAGACATCGCAACACTCCGCTCTTCCGGAGGCGACCAAGTGGCCAACCATCTTCTTTGTGCGAGCATAAACATCCACCTCTTGCCCACAAAGTTGTGGAGTCAACAGTGGCATCCTGGAAGATCCCGGCCTTGATGCACCGGTTTCGCAAGTGCCAGCCGTCTCTCCGCCGCTGTTGTTGGAAAGCAGCCTTCTTTGAGTTCGTCACGTCTTCCCCAAGCGGCAATCGCCGTCCGGAGGCGGATATCAAGTGCCTCCCCATCTTGATGGAATGTTGCAACTCCCGGACGGTTAAGCTTTTTAGCGCTGCGTTCCCGCCATCGGACGGAAGGTCCCAGGTTACCATCGCCTCGCTGGTGATTGGGTGCGGTATCACCGACCTCAACTCCACACCGTTCGCCTGAATCATGAGCAGAGATTATCAAACGAAACCCGGACGGCGATAGGGGACCAAAGCCAGTTTCATCCGATGACAGCGCCGGTCAGTTTTCGCCGCGCCGCCTGTCATATCCTTGCCACGGCCCACAAATCAGCGAATCGAGTGCAAGGAATATAGGGACGGGTGGAATTCCAGAAGGACAGAAGGGCGGACGCTGTGGGACACTGTGATCAGCCGCACCATCAACAAGAACGCGGCCCTGTTGACGACTTTCACGAACCTGGGGATCCGGGGAGAAGTACCACCGTACTGCCCCGGGTGGTGGGATGAACCATGGATCATCTGGCGAGGACCTTGGACACGATGGCCAGACCAGGGAGGTCCATCGAGGCGGCGATAGGGACACACTTGTGCCGAGGGTTCCGTACAGAATATCAACTGGCGTGGGGATTTGCCCTGAGGCAGGGATTCGTCGGCCAGTGTCGACTCAACAATCTTTAGCCTGCGCGACCGTCTTGCCGATCTCGAAACAGCGCGCCTGCTCCTTCTATTTCCAGGGCTCGGGCAACTGACCTTCTGAGGACGCGGGAACACCCCTTCCTTCACACCCAACTCCCCCCCTTCCCTTCATAAGGTCGGCCCCGGAAGGATCTCTGGTCTCGGTACAGCAATCTTTCCTTCGCCACAGCCGCCGTGCCTCGCCTGTTCTGGTTTCAACACCTGCCAGCTTCACAGACGAAGGTGACAAGACAGAGACCATCTCACATCCATAACCACCAACAGAATCCTCAATCATGGCGGCCATCAACCCCGCCCCGGGGACCGATTTCTCGGAAAAGAAGGCAAACCCCTTCGAGGCCCCGAGTTCAGCCATCATGCAACCGCAGTCCGACGAGGAAGTGGGCGAGGTGCGGCCCACGGTCGAGATGAACGACTACGAAAAGCAGAAGGCGGCCGAGGGCGAGGCGCGTTTCCACAGGCTCGGCTGGAAGCGCCTCACCATCGTGCTGATCGTCGAGGCTGTCGCGCTGGGCAGTCTCAGTCTCCCCGGTGCCTTCGCGACCCTGGGTATGGTGGCCGGTGTTATTCTCTCCGTTGGCATCGGTCTGGTTGCCCTGTACGCCAGCCACGTGGTGGGCCAGATGAAGCTCAAGTACCCGCACATCTCGGACTACCCCGACGCCGGCCGCATGATGTTTGGCAGTATCGGCTACTGGATCGTCAGCGTCATGTTCTGTTGTCAGCTCATCTTCATCGTCGGCTCGCACGTCTTGACGGGCGCCATCATGTTTGGCAACCTCACCGACAACGGCGCTTGCACCATCGTCTTCACCGTCGTCTCGGCGATCCTGCTGTTTCTCGTCGCCATCCCGCCCAGCTTTTCCGAGATGGCCATCCTCGGCTACATCGATTTCGCCTCCATCATTGCCGCCATCTTCATCACCATCATCGCCACCGGCGTCCGCGCCAGCGACCTGCCCGACGGTGCCGCATCTGTGGCGTGGTCTGCGTGGCCAAAGGAGAACCTCTCGCTGGCCGAAACCTTCATCGCCATCACCAACATCGTGTTTGCCTACAGCTTCGCCCTGTGCCAGTTCAGCTTCATGGACGAGATGCACACGCCCAAGGACTACGACAAGGCCATCGTGACGCTCGGCGTATTTGAGATCTTCCTCTACACCATCACGGGCGCCCTGATCTACGCCTTTGTCGGCCCCGACGTCAAGTCGCCTGCCCTGCTCTCGGCCGGGCCCTTGGTGTCCAAGGTGGCGTTCGGTATCGCGATCCCCGTCATCTTCATCTCGGGCAGCATCAACACGACGGTGGTGGCGCGCTACATCCACGGGCACGTGTTCAAGAACTCCATCATCCGCTACGTCAACACGCCCATGGGCTGGGCCACGTGGATCGGCCTCGACGCCGCCATCACGGTGGTCGCCTGGGTCATTGCCGGCGCCGTCCCCTTCTTCTCGGACCTGCTGGCCATCTGCTCGTCGCTGTTTGTCTCGGGCTTCACCTTCTACTTCCCCGCCATAATGTGGTTCATGTTCATCAAGGAGGGCAAGTGGTTTGAGCGCAAGAACTTGGTTCTGACGGTCGGCAACGCACTGACCTTTATTATCGGCGTCATTGTGCTGGGCGTGGGCACTTATTCTGCGATATGGGATATTGTGAGCATTCTCCCTTCCCGTCTTTTTGCGAATATATGCTGACCATGGTCCAGATGCATCAGTACGCCATCGGGGCGGTTTCGGACCCATACAGCTGTGCGCCCATCGGCTGAGCGGGCTTCAGCTTGCTTTATTTTTCATGTTCGCGCGGGGTTCAGGGAGTTTGTGAGAAGTGCTATGATAGACAACAGGCCAGAGGTCCATTCAGGCAATGGCAGCGCGGCCGCGGCATGGGCTTTTTACGATCGATAGACTTTGACGAACTCATGTGTTGGAGAGCATGGCTAGGAGTAGACGGTTTACGGCGTTTGGCTTCTGGATTCTGTATCATAGCGAGTTCGCGTTTGGGGTGTTGGTGTTGGTGGTTGGTTGAATACCAAAATAGGGGACTTGACAACCACCATCTTCAGCTTCTTGGATCTCGTGACCGAACAACCAACTCTTGCGTGAAGCCTGGAATTCGCAAACACACAGCATTCCCGAACTCCGCGGCCGCCTCAAATTCCGAGGAGGCACCGTAAAAAAGACCGATCAGGGTTCGGCCCTCTCTTCTCAGGGACAAACTCCACCTCAACCCATCACCACCTCCACATCACCAATCCATCCATCCCTCTTCCCTGTAGCCTCCACCACACCAAGCAATAATTCATCAGAAAAAGTATCAAAAAACAGATGACCTCTGACAGGCTAGTCTGCCCAGTAACAGGATTGAACTGTTGACCTTCGCATGACATGATATAGCAGATGTGGGACTCTGCAATATTAGTACGACGCTCTAACCAGCTGAGCTAACCGGGCGTGTGTGTTGTTGTTGCTCCTGACACCCGATTCACAGGCTCTATTCCCGGAATGGGACCATGACAATGGGGGCGGTATGGTGCATAGGACGTCGATGGGATGGGCGGAAGTGACTCTGGGATGGGAAGGAATATATAAACAGATAGGGACTTTACAGTGGCGAGGGTGGTATCAAACAGTTTGCGTACTGCTTGACTTTTCGGATATGAGAGGGTATTGAGGGCATCTGCTGTCCTTTGGGAGGGCCGGGTACAATGTCGACTAGGACGTTATTACAAAAAGAGCGCGATATCACCTGACTGGCTGTCCAAGCTAGAACCCTGCAGACGATGCTTGAGCTGTTAGGTTCGGTCCGTTGCCTTGCCTTGCCTTGCCTTGCCTTGCCTTGCGGGTGGTGTGTGATGATGTCCTTGCAGGCTTATGCAAGACGCCATGAAGCAGCAGTGCACATATACGCAAACACGTTGCAATATGGGTCCCCAAAAACAATGGGAATGCGACGGAAATCAGGGGGAGCACAAGCAGACACCCTGCATTATATTGGTTCCTTGCATCAAGGTACGCATCCGACTTCAACGTGCCTACACACCAACCAGGGTCCAGGCCTGCCCCATCCCTCCTCCGGAGCATCAAGCTCAAGCCTCAAGCCCCAGCTCCTTGTAAAACGCCTCGGAGCTGGGCTTCCGCCCGAGGAACTGCTCGAGCGTGAGCATCTCGTCCTGCGACCCGCCCTTCTCTAGCACCGTGTGCCGGTACCGGCGGCCCTGCGCGGGGTCCATCGGGTTGCTCTTGAAGACCGAGTAGAACATGTCGGTCGAGTACACCTGCGAAGACAGGTAGCCGTAGTAGCCGGCGTCGTAGCCGCCGATGAGGTGGCCGAAGGTGGCTTGGCCGTTGCCCCATGTGCTGGACAAACCGGGACGTGCGTTAGCATTGGTTCAATGGTTTTGTTCATGGCTTGGGGCATGGAGAGGAGAGGTCGAGAAGGGTTGGGGTGTGGATGGGAATGACTCACCTGGGCTCGCCCTGCGCCTCGGGGCCCTTGATCTGAGAGATTTGCACGCGCAGGTCGTTGTACAGCTTGCTGACGTCCAGCTTCTCAAGCTCCTCGTGCGTCTTGGGGGTGTGGACGGTCATGTCGAACAGGCCGAAATGCAGCTGGCGGAGGTTGAACAGGCCGTCGTTGACGTGCTTGGTAGCAATCAGCTTCTCGATGAGGTCATCCGGGATCGGCTGGCCCGACTCGTAGTGGCTGCTCAGGCTCTTGAGCTGGCTGGGGGTCCAGCACCAGTTCTCGAGCATCTGGCTGGGCGCCTCGACAAAGTCACGGACGGTCGATGTGCCGTGGTACCGAGCAAACCGGGTCCGACCGGCGAGGTCGTGGATCCCGTGCCCCAGCTCGTGGAAGAGGGTGACGACCTCCTCGTGCTTGAGGAGCGATGGCTTCTTCTCGGTGGGCTTGCTGAAGTTGCAGACGAGGGCAGTAGCGGGGTACCGCCTGGTGCCGTCGGCCTTCAGGTAGCCGGGCTGAAGGCTGAAATTGGCGGCGTGGCCATACTTGCCCGGGCGGGGGTGCAGGTCGAGATACAGGTAACCGACGAAGCCATCGCCTTCGCCCGCATCGTCCCACACACTGAAGATGATCACATCGTCGTGCCATGCGATGTCCTCGGCCTTTCCAGTGGACGAGATGCGCTTGCGGTCCTCCGGCGTCAGCTCGACAAACACCAGGCCAAACAGCTCCTCGAAGATGCGGAGCATGCCCGCGACCGTCGACTTGAGCGGGAAGTACTCGGCAATGGCATTTTCGTCGATGCTGTACTCCTGCTCGACCATCATGCGGTCGTAGAAGCGGTGGTCCCAGAGGTAGTAGTTGCCATCGAACGGGAGGTTGCGGGCCTCGTGGTCCTTCTTCTTGAGCGCGAGGAGATGTTCAATCTCCTTGACGCCACCCGCAGCGAGGCGGCCCTTGAGGTCCCCCAAAAAGTCCAGCACCGTCTTGGGCGTCTTGGCCATCTTGTCTTCGATGCGGAACGAGGCGTGGTCGGGGTAGCCGAGGAGGCGGGCAGCCTCGTCGCGGAGAAGGATGGCCTCCTTGAACAGAGGGGCGTTCTCGTTGCACTGCACACGGTGTCAGCATCGGCATGATTGCTAATGGTTGCCAACAGTCGCAAGCATACCTTGTTCTCATTCTCAATAAAGACCTTCCGGCGAGTCTCGGGGTTCTTTGCGAACTTGAGCGTAGGGAAGAGATCGGGGTACTTGAACGAGAGGCGGATCTTGCCCTCATTGTCGCCGGTTCCCTTCTCCAGCGTGTCCAGGACGTCCTGGGGGACACCGTCGAGGTCCTCCTTGGTAAACCAGAGACCGCCGTTCTCCTCGTTCAGGTTCTTCTGGAAGGCGATCTGGATCTGGCTGAGCCTCTTCTTGATCTCCTTGAAGCGGTCCCTCTTGGGGCCCTCGGGCAGGCCCAGGCCGTTGCGGATGTAGCTCTTTCTCTCCTTCTCCAGCAGCCTCGCGCTCTCGACGTCGTCCAGGCCGGCGGTCTTGGCCAGCGCGGCGTCGATCAGGCGCTCCTTGTCCTTCTCGAGGCTCGGCGCGAGGCCCGAGTTGTTGTAGACGGCGTCGACGAGGCGGAACACGTCCTCGCGCATGCTGCACTCGATGGCGAACTCGTCCATGATCTTCTCGGCCTCGGTGCTGGCGTCGCGGAGGGCGCTGTCGCCGGAGACATACTGGTAGAAGCCGAGGATGCGGGCGCTGAGGGAGCTCTCGTTCTCGTCCTCGGTCTGGGGGCGGATGATCGACTCGAAGGTGGCCGCGGCGGGGTTCTCGGCGGGCTTGATGTTGGCGACGAGCGAGTCCAGCAGCGAGCGCGTCTGGTCGCACAGGCCCTTGGAGTCGGCCACGATGGAGTCCTTGGTGCCCGTGAAGAGCGGCGGCGGCTGCGGGGGGTTGGCGTACTTGGCCATGTCGACGGTGGGCGCGTGGGTGAAGTAGGAAGACAGAGACGAGTACGTCAGGGTGCCCAGGGCCGGACGACCAGTCGAGACTGCTGTGAAGGCTCCGAGTCCTCCAAGCGGTGCTTGGTGGGCGTTGCTGTTGTACTTGAGGCGCGTGAAGAGGGCAGAAAGGCGGGGGACGATGCGAGGGGCGGCCAGGATGACGGTGGTGGCGGAGAAGAGGAGGACGGCCAGCAGCAGCAGCAAGACAGCCTGCCGAATCGGGGGGGTAGCGGGCGCCAGGGTGGAAGACACGAGGAGTCGGGTATGGATTGGGTGACGAAGTGAACCTTGAGGGCCGCGGGGTCCAAGTGTTGGCCCAATTGCGGGGAAGCTCCGGTGGGACAGCGGGAGTGGAGAGAGATGGAAGGCGGTTCGTCAGGTCCGGCGCTGGCGGGTTCCGGGGTATGGAGGGCAAGGTAAGGTAGCAACCTGGGGAGGTTGGAAACCAGGCTCGGCGTGGGCACCGGAGGGGTTGGTGATCTAATTGAAGTCGCCTCGAAGACGCCGTTGAATTGGAAGGAATCAGGTTGCTTTGTTCAAGGCGAACTGTCACTGAAACGATGCGAAGCTCGTGGGGAACTGATGAAGCCATGGAACCTTGGAACTGAGGCCGCACTGGATGCCAAGTCCCGCTCTGACTGGACCGAGTCCCTGCCCCTCCCTCCCTGGCCAGGGCGGCTCGCCCCTGTTTGGCACCCAACTTGAACGCAATCCAACCTCGACGAGTGTTTGGCGGAATGACTTCCTATTGCTATCTAGGCCTCAGCCAGTGTGTCCTATCCCAAGTCCTGAATGGTGTATCATCAATACTGATCCAGGCGCCCAAATTCAATACAACCCAGATTGCACAACTCCAACGCCAGCCGCCCATCACGCAACCCATGCAATGCCCTCCGTGATTGTCATGTCGTGGATCGGCCCGTCTGTTAGAACGGTCCGCAACTGCTCCGCAACTCCCTGTAGCCTCATCACCTCTAGTTGGAGAGAATCGTGCGGACGAGCTCTGGAAAGTGACGTTAGCAAGTGTCCTGCGCCGCTCGTGTGAACGCCTCCTACCTGTGTAGTTGACCTGCCCGGAGCTGGTGTCGACCGCCTTGAGCAGCTCGTCGACCTCGTCTTCCGACATCTTCTCGCCCAGATTTGTCAGGATGTACTTGAGCTGGCCGACGCCGATGAAGCCCGTCATGTCCTTGTCGAACACCTGGAAGCCGCGGCAGTATTCCTCGGGCTCGCCAGGGTCGCGGAAGCCGCCCGGGCGGTTGAGGATGCGCTGGAACGTCTCGAAGTCGACTGGTTGGGCTGGCATCAGCTCTTGGTTCAGGTTGTGGACGCGCGACCCAGGGGCTACTCACAATCACCGCCGACGCTCGCCTCCAGGTCGCGGATCTCGGCGAGAGTCGGGTTCTGCCCGCAGGCGCGGAGGAGATCGCCCAGCTTGTCGAGGACGACGCGGCCGACGCCGCGCGTGTCGAAGAGCGAGAAGGCCTCCTTGTAGTTGGTCGAAGCCTGCGCGCCGTACTGGTTAGCGCCATTGTCTGGTTTTGGTGCTGCGGCAAAATGCAGCGGTCGGCGCAAGTCGCAAACGCGGCGTGCGGGCATGTTGAAGCCCGCGAAAGCGTAAACACAAAACGCGGTGCTCCTCCTCGCCTTGTTTGGCTGGCAGGCGCAGCGTCACGCATCTGCGCAAACAGAACCGGATTTTGGGGCCCGGTTTGCTTTTGCTTGCTGCAGCGGCGGTCGCCCTCGGCAAGCCCGCAGTACGGTTTGGGGACTCGCTGGAATCGACTCACCATTGTGTTCTGAATTTAGAAGTGGCGCTGTGTCTGGACAAGAAATGCGAAGGCTGAAGGCGAGAGAAAACGCGATGCGGGCAGGAGACGAGTGGTGGTCGAAATGGCGGGATGCGAAAGCGGGCATTCAGGGACACTGCACGGCCAAGGTTCGCTGGTTTGTGCCCCACCCAGGCCCCATTTGTTGTCTCCTCCAGGCCGCCGT